ACAAGAAAGCATATGGTAAGCAAATATTTTATTTATATAAGTGAAAGATACGTGCAAAAGAGCTTGAGCTGATTAAAAAAAAACTAAAATGAAGAGTCTGGATCCCTACCAGTTTTTGCTGCCGTTGGTTCACCGGATTCAGCTGCTATTCTCACACCGGTGCGGAGGGATAGATTTTTTATAATAACGAAACTCTTCACCCTAAATAAATAACGTAATTTTCACACATGTAATCTTACATTGCACCAAAATTACTAGCATCGAGTAATTAACTATAGTGGACGGTAACGCACATCCTCCATAGTGAACATTGGATTATCAGTAGTAAATAAGTCAACACATATTTATCATTTCAGGTCCATCACAGTCAGCCCATATCGTCATCATTAGAAACAAATGTTAATCTTACCCAACCCAGCCATCCGCATAACAAATGACCATTTTACTATGAAATCACCAACATAAAAGAGACATAAGGCTACAAACTGGCTTGTTTTGATAAGCTTGACGGGAGTTTCAACGTGCATAAACTGTTTCTCCGCCGTCCATCATGGCAAATGGAGCGCTCCTATGATCAGTTTGACATCACGTGCAAAGGATAAATAGAGTTGTGAGGACTTAGCAAAGCGTCTCTCTGTGTGGAAAACAGCTGAACAAACCATTATTCAGTGAGCCTATTGAACAACATCACGATTCCCTTCACGTTGAAGGAGGTTTTCCAAATCTGTCGTGTTCTGATCATGACGTGATAAGCATATCTGGGTCTTAATCCATGAAGGGGGTCCAACCTTTGTGCCGGTACTGTTTTTTATTTTTCAGACAGTTTGAGCTGAATCCGTTAGGCTAACTGTACCTCACGGATAGGGTAGACAGCTCAGAGCTTTGACGTATGAACACATGTCTCTATCGATGTGTGTTTTGTTTCCACTCGTATTCAAGAGTGTTCTTGCTCTCCTAGTCTTTTCCAGTGCACATATCAGAAGCTCCAAGTGTTTCTGCCCTTTATGATGAGATTATTGTTTGTTCTTCTACTGTGTGGTGTTAATGGCAGTCGCAAGTAGGCTCAACAAAGACACCGTTTTGCTTGGAGGGGAGTAGTAAAAAAACATACTGGTCGGTATTTGAATAATTTTTAGTATTTAAACTTTAAAATTACTTTTCAGATTTTTACATTTTCAATAATAAAAAGTTTAGGATTGTAGCCGGGACTGAGTCCTGGACCTCAGTGGGAATCTTTAGGTGAGCCAGGACATGAAACACACTTGGTTAATTACGGTGCTCCAAAGTGAAGGCATGGTGAAATAAATAGCAGATTAATTAAAGGGAGGTAATGAGTTAGAGTTTACAGCATGTGAGTCCATCAGCTGGATTCAGTTCATGAAATAATTTCTTAGCTGGACCTGATGAGTCGTGTTAGCTTTTACACACCTGTCAGTACACAGGGACATTTACCATTGTAATGCTAAATGCCTAATGAACTGTTTTTAAACGTTAATGTTAGGTTGTTGAGTGGGTGAAAAGGTCGGATGAAGTGGTCTGTTCCGTTAAGGAGGATTTGATGAGGTGATTTTCAGGGCAGGAGATTTTATTATTAAGTGATTGTTCAGATGGTTCGACTGTGAGTCAGTCCTGAGTCAGGAGTTTGACCAAGTAGAGGTTCAAGTTGGTTTGTACAAAAACACATCTACTTCAATTCAATTCATTTCATTTCAATTCAATTCAATTCAACTCAACTCAACTCAACTCAACTCAAAAGACTTTAACTTATTAACTAACAGCCGTTTTCGGGACAAAAAGACCCTGACTGCCAGCGTCTTTGAGCGTTTTTACAGTTTTTTTGAAGAGTGATAGAATATTATGCTCCTTGACCATGTAAACACCAAAACTACGAAAAAAAGAGTAGACTCACTTCTTATATCAGGAAGAATCTGTGTGTTTCTAGCTTTTTCCGTTCTTTGAAAATTTGTTGTCGAAGTGTGAGCTGCTGAAGCCTTTCCGGTTAGCGCCTCGCATCCCAAAACAATCTCCTAATTCATGGATTTTCTGCTTCCTGATCACGTGACGTGTGACACACATGGGTGAAGATTAGCTTTAGAGCTCATTCCCAGGCCAGCCCCGTTAAAAAATGCAATTGACCACTTTAGTCGTCAATGGCAGTGAATGGGTTAATCCCAGAGGGGGAAAAAAATTGTCTTTTGTTGCAGAAGCTCACATTACCAAAGGAAAGAAATATATATAACACAAATAAAAACATTCAACACAGTATTAAAACCAACAATACAGTATAGAACAAAAAATCTGCTGAATGATGGTCAGATTTTGATATGGACGAGCTACCACTGTCCTCCACCCTCTGTTGCAGTAGGCAGAGGGACTGTAACAGTCTTGGTGTTTGGGCTGTGGCAGCTAGCGTTCCCACATAGTTTACGTCTCTAAAAAGTCCATAAAAAGTGGATTAGCGCGAACAGATCACATCATCCATCTATGGCCGCCATGTAAACCTGACTCTGGACCAGAGGTGGTCGCATATTTCACGCAAAGGATTTTGGGGGCTAGGAATAAGGTGGATCTGTAAATATCTCTCAGTAAGTAGATGTGCTGATATACTGCCTGCCTTGGAATGGATTTTCCTGCTTGGGGCTGTTGATGAAACCAGAGTTCCACCAAGTGGATTTAGTCTCACTCCATAAAAGGATCACATGGATATTGTCTGTCCAAAGACAATCTTGGCTATTTACTAAACATCTCAAAACATTTCTTAGGTTTTATCAAGATCTGTATTATGACTCAAGAATATTTGTTTATTTTTATTACCATGACTAGATAGTTTCCTCAGACCATATTCTGTTATCAGGTTTGGTTTTCATCTGACACTGTTATAAGGAACATCCTAAGAACACAGGACCTTTTATTTTTGAAGGGTTCATATGAAAAAAAAAAAAACAGAGCCAGCCAGCTTTTCACACCTCGGGCATGACATCTGGCGGATCAAGAAAATAAAAGAGGACAGATGAGTAGAAATGTCAACCTCGTCTGAGGATGTTGTTGCACTCAGAAGAGGTCACTGTAGTGGGAAAATCGCTGAACTCTCAGAGCAGAGTGCTCATCAATGCTCCTCTGAATGTCACACATCTGAAGGTTTTCTCTGACTGTGTTTTGAAAGTTATTCAATTCTTGAACTTGACTTCCAGTATGCCAATTTAACCCACCCTTACACAGTAGTACTACGTAAGGTTGTGGGAACTGGTGTTTGTACCATTGAACTGGTATTGGGAGGTGATGTGTTTGGGAAATTATAATATTTGAGGCATGTATTGCTTATACACTGAACAAAAATTTAAATGCAACACTTTTTTTGCTCCCATTTTTCATATGATGGGCTTAAAGATCTAAAATTCATTCCAGATACACAATATCACCATTTCTCTCAAACATTGTTCACAAATCAGTCTAAATGTGTGATAGTGAGCACCTGGGCTTTGCTGAGATAATCCATCCCAACTCACAGGTGTGCCACATCAAGATGCTGATCTGACATTATGAGTAGTGCACAGGTGTACTGCCCACAATAAAAGGCCACCCTGGAATGTGCAGTTTTTTGCTTTATTGGGGATCTGGGGACTCAGAAACGGTCAGTATCTGGTGTGACCACCATTTGCCTCATGCAGTGCAACACATCTTCTTCGCATAGAGTTTATCAGATTGTCAATTGTGGCCTGTGGAATGTTGGTCCACTCCTCTTCAATGGCTGTGCGAAGTTGTTGGATATTATTGGGAACTGGTACACGCTGTCAAGCACATCCCAAACATACTCAACGGGTGACATGTCCGGTGAGTATGCTGGCCATGCAAGAACTGGGACATTTTCAGCTTCCAAGAATTGTGTACAGATCCTTGCAACATGGGGCCGTGCATTATCTTGCTGAAACATGAGGTGATGTTCATGGATGTACGGCACAACAATGGGCCTCAGGATCTCATCACGGTATCTCTGTGCATTCAAAATGCCATCAATAAAATGCACCTGTGTTCTTCATCCATAACAGATGCTTGCCCATACCATAACCCCACCACCACCATGGGCCACTCGATCCACAACATTGACATCAGCAAAGCGCTCACCCACACGACGCCACACACACCGTCTGCCATCTGCCCTGAACGATATAAACCGAGATTTATCCGTGAAGAGAAAACCTCTCCAACGTGCCAGATGCCATCGAATGTGAGCATTTGCCCACTCAAGTCTGTTACGGCGACGAGCTGGAGTTATGTCAGACCCCGATGAGGACGACGAGCATGCAGTTGAGCTTCTCTGAGACGGTTTCTGACAGTTTGTGCAGAAATTGTTTGGTTATGCAAACCAATTGTTTCAGCAGCTGTCTGAGTGGCTGGTCTTAGACGATCTTGGAGGTGAACCTGCTGGATGTGGAGGTCCTGGGCTGGTGTGGTTACACATTGTTTGCGGTTGTGAGGCCGGTTGGATGTACTGCCATATTCTCTGAAATGCCTTTGGAGATGGCATATGGTGGAGAAATGAACATTCAATGCATGAGCAACAGATCTGGTTGACATTCCTGCTGTCAGCATGCCAATTGCACACTCCCTCAATGCTTGTGGCATCTGTGGCATTTTGCTGTGAGACAAAACTGCACATTCCAGGGTGGCCTTTTATTGTGGGCAGTCTAAGGTGCACCTGTGCACTACTCATGATATCAGATCAGCATCTTGATGTGGCACACCTGTGAGGTGGCATGGATTATCTCAGCAAAGCAGAAGTGCTTTAGACTGATTTGTGAACAATGTTTGAGAGAAATGGTGATATTGTGTATCTGGAATGAATTTTAGATCTTTAAGTCCATCTCATGAAAAATGGGAGCAAAAACAAAGGTGTTGTGTTTATTTTTTTGTTCAGTGTATATAATGACAAATAAAGATAAGTAATGCTTCTTTGTTTTAGTGATTGTCATTTTAACCACAATCATTATCCATGTTTGCAGGAACTGGAGAGAGTGACGGCGCTACAGACCAACCTGCAGCTGGCAGCAGTCATTTGCACTAATGCTAGAAGGTAATGATATTCTGTAATATTCTACCTGCACTCTCAAACAGCTCGTTCACACTAGGGCCCGACCGATATGCTTTTTTTGGGACCGATCCCGATATAAAACTTTTAACAAAGGCCGATACCCGATATAATGGCCGATATATCTCCCTCACAAAAAAAAAAGAAATAAAAATGTTCTTAAACTTAAACCTTTCACTCTCTGCCTTTTTGATGCAAACTTATTTCTCTATTACACACCAAAGATCTGTGTCAGTAACTCATTAGGGTTTCCAAGTAATGCAATTATGATTTATTTTGCAGATCTCAAAAACAACAAAACACACAAACTCAGTTACAGCATAAATCTAACATTCAAGTTTTTTCTTGTAAACTGTGGTTTCCACAAATACATTTTAACTAAAAGGAATATTCCACCACTCAGTAAAATTGTGTCCTTTTAAGATTCCCCAGAGTTAGACAAGTCAGAACAAGCATTTTATAACCAGCCCAATATGATCTGGCAGCAGTTGGTTTTCTTAGTTTAGCATAAAACAATGTAAGTGAATTCACATACATTGTAGTGTTTTTTTATGTAGGTGAATGCAAGCCTTCCCTTCCATTGCTTTATGCTAAAACAACTGGTTACAAATTGTTTTTTCTGACTTAGCTAACTCTGGAGAATTTAACAACACACACAAGTTTAGGGACAGAAGATCCCTATAAGAATATTGAAATAATAAAAATTCAGCAATATATAAAACGTATTACTTGTGCTTTGTAACAAAGTAATACCCTGTGGAAGTTAACTTGGTGAACTTATTCACCCTGGACAGGAAATAATTGAACATAAGAAACATAAATGAGAATAAATTAAAAAAAAAAAGTTCCAAAACAATAATTTGTGTTCGAAGTTCAAAGGAGTGGAGCCACACAACGAGTTCATAAAGCTGGTGCCATCTGCTGGATAGGTAGCACAATATCAGCCATATCGGCCGTCTTTTGGCCAAGAGCCGATACTGTTAATGACCCCAATATCGGCCGATAATGTCGGCCGGCCGATATATCGGTCGGGCTCTAGTTCACACCACCCCTGCATACTAAGTATCTGTCTCCTAACCATGATCATTTCCCCTTGTATATAAAAAAAAAAGCGGTCACCTGGGTTTAACTTAGCAAATAGGTAGGAGCGCCTATTGGATAATTACTGAATGGGTGATTATCTTCCAGCGGGACACAAGTTATTTAACCCTACTGGTGCAATTATTTACTTTTCATTTTCTTAAACAACCATGTGGAAAGACACATTTAGTGGTCATGGAAAATATGTTAGTTTGTGTGAGAAGGGTCAGATCACCTGCATCAAGCACAGAAAACATCTAAGGAAATGCAGAAACAACTAAAACTGGGTTAAGAGCTGTCCAATGCATTATTAAAAACTGGTCTGATAAGTCCAGATGGACCCTGTTCCAGAGTGATGGTGCATCAGGGTAAGAAGAGAGGCAGATGAAGTGATGCACGCATCATGCCTAGTGCCTACTGTACGAGCCTGTGGGGGCAGTGCTATGATCTGGGCTTGCTGCGGTTGGTCAGGTCTAGGTTCAGCAACAGGATGTGCTCCAAGAATGAGGTCAGCTGACTACCTGAATATCCGGAATGACCAGGTTATTCCATCTTCCCTGATGGCACGGGTGTATTCCAATATGACAATGTCAGGATTCATCAGGCTCAGATAGTGAAGGAGTGGTTCAGGGAGCGAGACATCATTTTCACACATGGATTGGCCACCACAGAGTCCAGACCTTAACCTCACTGAGAATCTTTGGGATGTGCTGGAGAAGACTTTGTGCAGCGGTCAGACTCTACCATCATCTATGCAAGATCTTGGTGATACATTAATGCAACACTGGATGGAGATAAATCTGGTGACGTTGCAGAAGCTTATTGAAACAACGCCACAGTGAATGTGTGTCGCAATCAAAGCAAAAGGTGCTCCAACAAAATATTAGTGTGTGACCTTTTTTTTGGCCAGGCAGTAATATCATCGTAATATCATCATCGCAATATTAATCAATGTTATCGCATATCGCAGGTTTTCCTAATATCGTGCAGCCCTAATAATAATAATAGTAATAATAATGATAAATAAATAAATACATAAAGAACTGTGTTCTTTGGCAATTGTTGCAATATTCTAGTTCAAGACTATTTATTTATTCTACATATCAGGATTACATTCTGGTTTTATTAAACTCAAATGTTAAATATCTACATGTCTGTTTCAGAACTGCGGCTGTATCCCTGCTGGTGTTTTTGTTTATACTTAATTGTCATAGTTTGTGGGTATAAATCATCTCAAAATGAATAAAAATATGTGAAACTCATCTGATCTTTTTCCTGCTAAGACAACTTCGTGTGTCAAAGGAGGGGTTCACTGAGGCCAGCCTGGGTCTGTTAGCCAATCAGAGGAGGCGACAACTGCTGACAGGCCTGCTCAAGTCCCTAAGGACCATCAAGACCCTGGTACAATCACCACTCACCGTTATTTGTGTCGAAGGAAAATTTGACTCCAAACTACTTTTGATGGTTGCCCACTGGTAAAAGGCAAAAGGCGGACTATAATGTTTTTGTTTGTTTTTTTCTCTTAGCAGAAAATGAACCACTTATCCAAATGAAACTCAGAAAGTAGTGATTATTTGTGCTTCTGTTGTAAATGTTTGGAGACAGCATAATTCAAACAATACCCACCTGATCTCTGAAAATACATAAATGGATATTATTCAATGGGATTTACAGATACTGAGATCCCATCTTGTTATCTCTGAGGAATGACAAATATAACTTCCTGATTTCTCAATAGAAAGAGAAACTCTAGCAAGAAAAGTGGCGGGAAATATTTGTTTCTTGCTAAGCCTTTAACTTTTAGTTTGGTATGATCTTCTGTAAATGGCAATATAAGCAAGTGAAACGTTGGGCCAGCGGTGGTTCTTTGAAGAAGTATTTCCAACTCATTTTTAACTTTTTTGCTCTGTACCCAACAGCAAAGAACAGATGTACGACTCAGCGAGATGCTTGAGGTATTGTAAACACACACACACACACACTCGCACGCACGCACGCACGCACACACACGTTTGAATTGAAAGGTCAAATAACACTGGGAGTTCAGCTACATTCTCTAACAGCTACACAGACACAGATCCAGGTTTGATGTTTTGTTTATTGAACTATTTGACTCATATGGTGGGATTGCTAATTTAATTCCTTTTTAGTTTGCATCTGAAGTGAATAATTATGGATTTCCTTTGAATTGTTTAGAAAATGCGGTACAGTTGGAAAAGACATTAAATGAGCTTTCTGCCCTCCTCACTCAGGAGGAAGACTATCCGGGAGCTATCCAGCTCTGTCTGGAATGTCAAAAGGCCGCCAGCACCTTCAAACACTACAGCTGCATCAGGTACAGTAATAACAGGTGGATCCTGTGGTTTAACTGGGTCCAGTGGGAGAAGGTCTTGGACCTGCATCTCCAGCTGCACGAGGAAATTTATGATGGAAATACGATCTTTCTGGGATATGTCTGCCTGGAATAATCAGATGCGAGTTCTGCTCAGGTCGAAGACATTTAGATGTTAGTCATTTTTGAATTTGTCTTTTCTTTGAAGGGCAGATCGATGAACACCAGACGTTTTTGTTGTTGTTTGTTTCTGCCTCTCTTTTTCAGGGTTAAACCTGATTGATCTGTTTAGAGAACTTTCACTTGGGGACTTTTTTCCTCCGGTTTGGCACACGGGCATTTCCTCGTGGCTGTTTGTTGATCGAGTTGGGATGTTAAAAATAGCTTTTAAAGGATTTTTTCCATCTTCACGCATTGTCTTTTTGGCTTTTAGCTCGACAGAAGGAACACAGTCTGAGGACAGTTTCAGTGCTCTTCTTGCTACAATCCAGGTTATTTATTTTCCTCTGAACAGCTCGGTATGTTAGGCATGCAGCTGGCAGTTTCATTTTAAGCATATTGCTGCTTATTCCCTATTGAGAAAGCATCCAATTACAAGATTTAGAGACTCTGGCAGGCAGCCAGTGAGCCATGAGTTACAGATGGTTATACACACACACGCTTGCACGCACGCACACACACACACACACACACACACACACACACACACACACACACACACACACACACACACACACCTTTGTCTGATGCTAACGTCACTTATAAAATCATCTGAGAATAAAAGTATGGTTTCAGCATCACACGGAGTTTTGAGTTCCCATAAGACTTTGAACATGTCTGTCCTGCCCTGTAGATGTTGTAGATTTGTGCGTAGATGGGAAGCTTCTTTTGTACGTTCTTGCCGTGTTTGTCTTCAAAGTCCAGTTTTGGTTCTTTTTTAAACACAGATCAGGTTTTTCTTTACCTTGCTGCAAACATCCTCAGAGCTGACGCTGATGGTGGCGCCACTTCCTACTCAATTTATCCCCGGGCAGCAGAGGACGTTGTCGCCCTCTGCTTCTTCTGTTGCTGCTCTTGTGTGTCTTTTAGGGCTGCAACAAACGATTATTTGGATAATCGATTAATCGGATGGGGTCTCGACACGATTAATCGATTAATCGGATTACATTGGGAAATTTTTAAAAACTGCTAGGGAAACGTTATTTCTCTCCTTCCTTCACTTTATTTAACACAACATTATTAGAAAACAGTTCAATAGCAGAAAAACAACATGCCATCACCTAAATTGTCTTATAAGGTGTATAGACAGAGACCCTAATCTACATCTATCTGTGACCTAAAATGCTTGGTCCAAGTTAAACAGCTTAAGGGCAATTCTCATCTGTTTTGTTTGATCTCATCTGTTAACATTTATTTTAAATGTAATTAAACATAGGCTGTGAATTAATCAAAATTGATCACTATTTCCAAAAATGACTGAAAAAATACCAAATAAAACAAAAGTAAATGAATGCCATCCTCCTTGCGATGATGCCCTGGGCAACTGCCATAAAGTCACATCAAGAAATGCTGCTGATCATTCCAATGATCCCAAATAGACTCACATTAGGCCACATGAAAGCAACTGAACCCAAAAATATATGAACCAGTATATAACTGCACTCTCACACAACACGCCTGCAGCAACAGTTAGGACTCCTCCCTCCCTTTTAAAAGCGTTTTTGCTTCCGAGGACATTGTGGTTGTAAAACCACATGCTAGTAGTCTGGCCCCGGTGTGATCAACCAGTTTCTGCGGGAATGTGACGGCGGAACCAGGGCCAGATTAACACTTTGTTGTACCCTGGGCAACAATATTCAAGGGCTCCATCATCACGACCCGAGGATCACCATAATATGGTCACATACAGAATATTTTACTGTAATATGCAGTAAATATACTCAATACTTGAATGCCTGACAACACGTAACCCGCCCAGAGTAACCTTTGACCCACCTCGTGTGGACTGACCAATGAGGAGAGGGTCTTAACTTGAGGCCCTCTCTTCATTGGTTAGTCTGCATGAGACTGACTCTCAACTGACGTTCAAAGTCATAGGCAGCGAAGCGTCTCTGTGCAGCGCAAAAGCCCGGGTGGACAGTTTGTTTAATGTAGGGTGATCATATTTCCATTTCCAAACAAGAGGACAGGGGATCTGTGCCTATGACGTCATACTATGGCAACACCACACAAACCATGTTGGGACCCATTTTTTGTAAGAACTAAATTAATATCAGATTCTGCCAATAAAAGGGCTCTAAAACAATTCATATGTAAATATTTTGCATATTTAATGCAAAATCTCATTTTTCTGCTTTAGTGCTGCAACAAGGTTTTATTAATAATAAATTATTATACCTTTTGTTTTACTACAGCATCGGTAAGCTTCCTGTGCACAGATTATTAAGGATGCTTGTTTCAGCTGTGAGATTAGACGATAGGATCAATGAAAAAATAAGTTGTCACACACTCCATGGAAACTTTCAGAGAATCCACAAATAGCGGCTTTCAAATGGTTTTGTTACTTTTTGCAAGTTTAGAAAAGAAGCAGATGAGACAGCATGTCTGATTATTTAGTTTTTCATCTGATAATATTAGAACATGTCAGTAATGTCTGAGGGGCTTTTATAAACACCGTATAACTAATACTCCTGGAGAGGGTATGAATTACACAGAGGCTTCTGGGGAGCCCAGTTATTGGGGGGGGGGGGGGGGGGGGGGGTTGGGCATTTTGCCTTGGCCCCCAAAATGTCTTGAAACGGCCCTGGGTGTGTGACTGAGTTTTGAAGGTGATCTGAATTGTATCAGATGCATAAATATAACATGTGTATAACTTATTGTTTTTTACTGGTAAAAACGTGTAGTGGAGATAAATCTACCTACATTTTACTTTTCAACACTTTGTTTTGTTTTCTTGTTTTTATTTAACTATTTTCCTGTCCTGTCTGTCTCATCTTCCTGCATCTCCTCTTAATTCTCCAGAAAATCTGTCGCCTGGATTCTTACCTTTTCACTTCATCAGTTACTTTTGAGCAGATCATCTTCTGACCGCAAAGTGCAGAGTGCGTTTCGATGCTGCGTGAGGTGACATCACCACAGCACAGGTGATGAGCTCCGCAGTAGCGCGCTTCAGGCACAAATAAGACAGAAAATAGAGAACATGTGCAGACAAGAACGATGTGTGCTAATTATAGTTTTTTGGTTGCGCCACTTTGAGAATGGACCGTGCGCTGGAAGCAGCTGCCTGGATCGCTGCGCAGCAATGCGGAACCGGTTCGCAGCAGCACAAAGTCTGCAGGCTCTCCCTCGCGCTGATCTGCCGGCTCTCCCTCGCGCTGATCTGCGGCTCTCCCTCGCACTGATCTGACTTGCTCTGGTCTGCGCGCAACGGCGGGCGGGGGGGCGCTTTTGGAAGAGTTGTGCGACACAACGAATCGATGACGCAATTCGTTGCCAACGCTTTTAGTAATCGATTTTCATCGAATTTATCGATTCGTTGTTGCAGCCCTAGTGTCTTTGACTTGTTTCTTTCTCACACTCCTTTCTATGTTCTGTTGTTCGTGTGTTGAGTTGGCGTCCGGTTTCTTGTACGTTTTATTGCAGAGCTTACATGGGATTTCGTAAGCGACTCCACATTAAAGTCCAGCTGGTATCTTGTCTTTTGGGTGTACTAGTCTTTTTCTAACTGTTGTGTATGGTTTTGTTGGTGTGTTTATGTTGTGTTTTTTCATTGTTGCTCTTACTTTTTCTGTTATGCCTTTGATGTATGGTAGGGTTATAACTATTGACTACACGTGTCTACTATTGACTACACGTGCTGCAGACACGTGTAGTCAATAGTTTAGCACTTAAGTGCATTTTAGTTCAAATTTAAATTTTCTGCCTAAAACTGTCAGTGTTGTGCCGTTGCCAGCTAAAAACTCTGCACTGCATTTGAATTTAAATCTGCCATCACTATTGGCTAAAACAGGGGTCGGCAGTCCGCGGCTCTGGAGCGGCATGCGGCCCTTCCATCCATCTGATGCGGCTCTCTGTGCTTGTAAAATAATGAATGGATATTTAAATAAAATGCTTTATATTTTACTGAATTAATTTTACATCTGTATGTCAATTCTAAATGTAAAGATTGTCTGCGTAAACCTGAACAGTTCCAACCCGGTCTTACTGTGAGACCGGGTTGACGGGTCACGCTTGTGCGTAATCATATGCGCTTCCTGAGCTGAAGAGGATGTGAGATTCTGGGATTCTCCTCAGACGGCTCCTGGATGCTTTGCCACATTGGAGACAGGAACAAGCGCTATTCAGCCAAAGTTTCATGATCAGGGAACATTTTCTAAGTGACAAGTCTCTCTGAGAGACAGGGTTTGGAAAACACTCGCTTCAGTGGGAGGAATCTTCCCGCATGCGCTCTGGTTCTGCGACGTGCTCCAAGCCAATCTCCACATCTTCAGCTCGCTGTGCACCGTACGTATGCGCTGACAGCGAGCTGCGCTGAGCAGTGTTCAGCTCAGATGTTCAGATGGGAATCTTTTTTCTTGAGTGATTTAGCTACATATGCGATGTGCGTAACGGATAAAATGTCAGTTCCCTTCCGCCACACACTCCATTTCAGTCTGCATGCGTCGGGGTAATTCTTTCTACTCTTTCTCCGTCAAAACAAACGGTCAAATACGGGAACTATCCGGTCAACACAACACAAGCCCTGCTTTTAACTGTTCTGTTTTCTTGTGAAAATTGTTGCAAATTTAACTTGATTAACACCAGAGCCAGGCGCACTGTGCCGTTATCTCCGTCACTGTAAATGAGTGAAAAACAAAATGATCGGATCCTTTTCTGACCTTCCCCACCTACAAAGTTTAATTACAACAATCAAACTGCCTGCATTTGTATTCTGAACAGTCTAAACATGTTTTAAAAAGAAACATATGACAAAAGTGGCACCTGCTCAGTAAAACCACCAACAG